ACAACAAGCACCAAGTCACTCTATATAAACAATTGTTTATTCAATGGGACTATTATTTTGATGATATTTGGATTCATACTAATCACTACTAATTATTTTTATGAGCATTTGGTTATTTTTATTTATGGAGGATCATTTAAATGCGTTTTAGTTGAGTGTTATTAGTTGGTTTATTATTTTTATTATATTAAATGAGGGTATTATGAATATAAATGAAATTGAGGGTATTAGTAAGTACATCATGTCACTAATAGATGATTTATGAGCACTTGGTAAAATATATTTTTTTAGAGGAGTATTTTATGTGGAATTATTTTGATATTTATTTGGAGGAGATTGATTAGTTGAAATTATCTATTTAAATATTTTTTGGTATTTATACACTTTTATTAGTTATTTGTATCATAATTTGAATTAATGGTAATAATTTAATTATTATTTATTGAGAAGTATTTAGGAGCGCAACATATATTTGTAAACGTTTGCCTTTTAACTCTTATTTTATTTGGTAAAAAGTGGGATATTTCCAGTAACTGGAGTTGAAAACCCTGTAGTGCAGTCCATGGTTGAAGGTAGAACTGCCTCTTCTGCCTGTCCTTGGATTTTAATTTGAAATACCAGAAGCAAAGCCTCTGGAGGTGTTTTCTACATCCTGGGATGTCTGGGGACATTTGTCTTTTATCTAATCCCTCCAATGAATAACACATCTCTGCTGTAAAGTTGTATTTATTTTATTATCTATTATTGCTAACTTTTTAAGGATCCTGTATGTGACCATATTTGTGAATTTTGCTTTTGCCTTTTTTGAGAAACCCTCATCTCTAACTGTAACATCAGACGTGCGTTACCGCAAAGCAGCCTGGGAGCCACCCTGAAGACTGAAGGAAAATGTGGAATTTGTGAGTTTTCTTATATTTCTTGCTGACCTTTCTGTACAGGTAATAACCATTACTGTCCGGCTGACCTAGAATTTATACGTATTATACACCAAAAACAGGCTATTAAGGCCGGTTCTCACATGCCCACATCTGAATCACGCAGGAACGTGCTGTGCTTTCCTTTGCAATTAAACCTAGATGCAAAACATACAGCTTTTGCAATCCTGCAGCGGGTGTCAATAGAAATTTAATGACACCCCAAGTGCCGGTCACAAATGCAGTGTGTTTGCCCGCACCAGATTGCATGGTACTTTTGTACCATGTGATCTGGTTACAGTGGGGCTTATTTATTAAAGCTGGGGAGTGCAAAATCAGGCTGACTTCTGCATAGAAACCAGTCTGCTTCCAGGTTTTATTGCCAAACCTTAATTGAACAAGCTGAGGTTAGAAGCTGATTGGTTTCTATGCAGAAGTGAGCCTGATTTTGCACTCCCCAGCTTTAGTAAATATACCCCAGTGTGGCACAGTGCAGTGCGACTTTAGCCCATTCAAAATTCATGGCCTTCAATTCACACCGCACAGGAATGCAGAGCGCTTTCTTGTGCAATTCAGCTCTGGGCATGGTGTAAACCTGTCATCAAACTGAAAGTCTAATAAAGTGAATGTTCGCCTTTAGTAACTTTGAACAACAATTATCCTGTATTCCTTGAATGGAACCTACCAGTGGTCCTCATTTTAAAATGCTGCTCTTGGTTTCCTTTACATATACATTAGGGGTCTTTTCTACAGAAACCTGTGGCCCCTTGATCCCCCTCCATCCTGCTGTTTGCAGAACTGGCTGCATGCTACATGTGCGCACCCCATAGTGGGCGCACAGTTGTAGCATGGGTGCTACAAGGTTCAATCTACGTGCATGTGCAGTGTTCTGTCTCATTTTCTAGTTGCAGCAGCTGAGTTCAGGCATTAAAGTAGTTCTAAATCCTCAAGGGTTTTTAACTTAATGGATTGTATGCATTAAAGCGGAGTTCCACTCACCCTGTCCAAAAATAATTCAGCAGCTACAAAAACTGAAGCTGCTGACTTTTAAAAAACAGCCACTTACCTGTCCCTCGGTCCCATTGTGTGTCCCCTGTAGCCCGTTTCACCGGCCGTCCTGTGTTCCAGGCGCCGCATCTTCAGATTGGGGACCCGGCTGTGACAGCTTGCGGCTTCACAGCCGGGTACCGCTGCACATGTGCGAGTAGCACTGCGCTTTATGAACAGTCCTGTAATCTTCTGGGACCTGTCATGTGTCCCAAAAGACTACAGGGAGGGAGGACACCGCTTCCGATCGCCTAGGCGATCGGACCGGAAGTGGGAGCGGGTACCTGTCAAATTCGGGTACCCGCTCCCCCCCCCACCCCCAAAGGTGCCAATCCTTAATGGGGAGCGGGGGAGCAGTCCTTAAAGTGGAACTTCCCCTTTTGGTGGAGCTCCGCTTTAAGGTAAAAAACCTTTTGTGTAACAGACTGTCACCTTCCCTTATACTTACCTGATCCCCGTTGTGATCCAGCATTGTGCATAAGAGCTGTGTCTCTCCTTTCTTTGTCCCTCTTCACTGGGCAGATTGATAGCTGCGGGAGCCATTGACTCTTGCTCCTGTCAGTCAACTCATGTGATGAGGGAGTGTGGGGTGGGGCCAGGTTCTGCTGTCTGTGTCAATGGACACAGCAGCGGGACTCGAGAGTAAGCCCGTATGAGCGCCCCCATGTAATCTGCTTTCTATTGGGGTCACCAGCAAGAGAGCAGGCGCCAGGAGCACTGGTGGGGTGACCCGAGAAGGGGAGGATCGGGGCCCGCTTTGTGGAATTCTATTGCACAGAGCAGATAAGTATAGACATGTTTGTTTCATTGGGAATTTCATTGGGCCTGTTAGGTCAAAAGAGCATGCGGAAGGTCAGGTAGTGATGTTGGATGAGAAGACCAGGCTCACAATTACCATTACAGTTCATCCTCAAGGTGTTCAGTCAGGGCTCTATAAAGGGACACTCCAGGGTTTCTCCACAGCAAACTCATCACACCAGGCCTTCATGGAGCTGACTTTGTACACAGGGCCACAGTCTTTCTGGAACCGAAAGGGCCTTCCCCAAACTGTTATCACAAAGCTGGAAGCACACCATTGTCTAAAATGTCTTTGTATGCTGGAACATTAAAGCCGAATTAAACTCATTTTTTTTCACTTTCACCCACCAGCAAGCTTCTGTTCACCTAATGTAAACAGGGCTCATATTCTGCACAGCGCTCCCATATTTACTATACAATCCTGCTCCGGGTCCGTCCACCTCTCTCTGCCCAAAATCCCAGCTGCTAATCCAGTTCTCCACTGTAAACTTGAGGCATGGAGAAAATCAGATGACTGCATGACCGGTAAACAACATTAACTTTGATTGTAGACTCTTCATAAATGAATTACAATGCAGCAGGATGAACAAGACTACTCTAGCTTGCTTCACGCCAACCAACGCTTACTCATAGAGCACTGGTTGGCATAAAACATGTTAGGGGTAGTCTTTCATCCTGCTGCACTGTCATTGATTTTACAAAGAGTATACAATAAAGGAGGTCATTGGCTGCTGGATATGTCAAGCACCGGTTCCCGGCCGGCGATTCCTAGCCGGGACTTGGTGATTGTCAGCAGGGCTGAGAGGGGAGAGATCTGTGTGTAAACACAGATCTCTCTCCTGTCAATATGGACATGCTGCTTTGTATCTCTCTGCACAGCAGAGAGATACAAAGCAGCATGTCTCCCAAGTAAAAAACACAGCATACGTAGTAAAACACACACAGCACACAGTTAACCCTTTGATCGCCCCAGATGTTAACCCCTTCCTGCCCATTGTCATTAGTACAGTGTCAGTGCTTTTTTTATTAGCACTGTTCACTGTATGAGTGTCACTGGAGATGTCAGTGGCAGTTATTCAGTTCCCACCCAGTATCAGAATGCCCACCGAAGTCCCGCTATAAGTCACCGATTGCCGCCATTACTAGCATAAAAAAAAAAAAATTCCAGTATATAAATACCGTCATTTGTAGATGCTATAACTTTCACGTAAACCAAATATACAGTTATTGGGATTTTTTTAGTAAAGACATGTAGCAGAATACATTTTGGCCTAAATTTATGAAGAAATTTTTATTTAAAATTTTTTTTTTGGGTATGTTTTATAGCAAAAAGTAAAAAATATTGTTTTTTTTTTTTTTTTTTCAAAATTGTCAGTCTTTTTATTGTTTATAGCGCAAAAATAAAAAACGCACAGGCGATCAAATACCACCGAAAGAAAGCTCAATTTGTGGGGGAAAAAAAGGACATACATTTCATTTGGGTGCAGTGCTGCATAACTGCGCAATTGTCAGTTAAAGCAACGCAGCGCCGTATCGTGAAAATGGCCTGGTCAGAAAGGGGGGTAAATCCCCTGGAGGGCAAGTGGTTAACCACTTGCCTACCAGGCACTTATACCCCCTTATTTACCAGGCCAATTTTCAGCTTTCAGCGCTGCCGCACTTTGATTGACAATTGCGCGGTCATGCAACATTGTACCCATATGAAATTTTGATCATTTTTTTCTCACAAATAGAGCTTTCTTTTGGTGGTATTTAATCGCCACTGGGCGCTTTACTTTTTGCGCTATAAATAAAAAAAGTGCAAAAAATTTGGAAAAAAATAAAAAGTTTCTTTGTTTCTGTTATAAAATTTTTCAAACAGGTCATTTTTCTCCTTCACTGATGTGTGTTGATGAGGCAGCACTGATGGGCACTGATAGCCGGCACTGATAGGCAGCACTAAAGGGCACTGATAGGCAGTACTAATGAGGTGGCACGGATAGGCGGCACTGATAGACAGCACTAATGAGGTGTCACGGATAGGCGGCACTAATATGCAGCACTGATAGGCGGCACTGATAGGTGACACTGATGATGGGTACTGATAGACGGCACTGACTGGCATCACTGCTGGGCACTGACTGGCGGCACTGACTGGCACAACCGCTGGGCACTGAATGGTGGCACTGGCTGGCAGCACTGCTGGGCTGCACTGGTGGGTGGCACTGGTGGACAGCACTGGTGGGTGGGCACAGGTGGGTGGCACTGGTGGGCACAGGTGGGCTGGGCACAGGTGGGTGGCACTGCTGGGCACAGGTAGGTGGCACTTCTGGGCACAGGTGTGTGACACTGCAGAGTGGCACAGGTGGGTGCACTGCTGGGCACAGGTGGGTGATCTGCTGGGCACAGGTGGGCGGAGCTAGTAGGGGGCGGCACTGCACTGCTGGGCACAGGTGGGCGGAACTTGCGGGTGGCACTGCTGGGCACCGATCATCAGGGCACTGATCATCAGTGCCCTGATGATCGGTGCCGATCCCCGCTCTGACAACTGCCGGTTCTCGGCAGTACTTTCCTCACATCTGATCTGACAGCGTGAGGAAAGTGCAGCCGAGAACCGGCACTTGCATTTCCCTCTGATCAGCGTGTCATTGGACACTGCTGATCACGTGGTAAAAGGCCGCTGTGATTGGCCTTTTACCACATCACGTGATCAGCTGTGTCCGCAGAAAGACACAGCGATCACGGATCGCCATCCGGATATGCGGGTTCCAGCTCCCTTGGGCGCTGCTTAAGCTTGCCTCATGGGTGAAGATGGCGCGCGTTTCTGGGCGGAAATGACGTCATATGACGTCAGTACAGAAGGCCGGCCGCAGTGCAGCCGTCATTCGCTATCTGCAGCGGTCGGCAGGTAGTTAAACAACATGTCATGTTCAATGGGGTCAGACCACAACTGTGTGTGCCCTCACCCTCACCTAGCAAAAAGTTAAAAATATTTTTTTTGTTTTTTTTTAAATTGTCTTTTTTTTTTTTTATAGCGCAAAAATAAAAAAATTCAAATACCACCAAAAAATATCTCTAGCAGGGGTGCGCAAAATCATGTGTGTATATGTATGTATGTATGTATGTATGTATTTATTTCAGGTACTTATATAGCGCCGTCAATTTACGCAGCGCTTTACATATATATATTACATTCACATCAGTCCCTAACCCCCAAGGGGCGTAGAATCTAAGGTATATATATATTGTGTGTGTATCTGTATGTGTGATTTTGCATTTCCGGGTAGAGGACGTGCGCCCCTACCCTCGCCACTATTCGCAGCCTCGGCTGTCAATCACCGGGTCCCAGTCAGTGATTACTTGCCAGCACCCAGTGATCGCCGAGCATTACCGACTGGGGAGAGAACTGTATTGTATGTAAACAATACAGTTCTCTCCCCTGTCAGCTCCTGTACACTGTTTTGTATGGCTCTACATAGCAGAGCCATACAAAGCAGTGTGCTTACAGTGGAAAGCACACACACAGTTTACAGTGGAAAGCACACACACAGTTTACAGTGAAACAGCACACAGTTAACCCTTTGATCACCCCAGATGTTAACCCCTTCCTGCCCATTGTCATTAGGGCAGTGTCAGTGCTTTTTATTAGTACTGATCACTGTGTTGGTGTCACTGGGAATGTCAGTGACATCAAGTCAGTTCCCCCCAGTGTCAGAATGTCCTACACAGTCCCTCTATAAGTTGCTGATCGCCGCCATTACTAGTAAGAAAAAAAAAAAATCTCAATGTATATATACCGCCATTTGTAAACGCTATAACTTTTCACGTAAACCAATTCATTTGCACTTATTGGGATTTATTTTAGCAAAGACATTTTGGCCTAAATTTATGATGAAATTAGATTTTTTTTTTTTTAACTTTTTTTTACTGGACATGTTTCATAGCAAAAAGTCAAAAATAAAGTTTTTTTTCCTCCAAATTGTCTGTTTTTTTTTTTTTTTTTTTTATAGCGCAAAAAATAAAAAAACGCACAGGCGATCAAATACCACCGAAAGAAAGCTCTATTCATGGGAGAAAATGTAATTTGGGTGCAGCGTTGCATGACTGCGCAATTGTCAGTTACAGTAACCCAAAAAATAGCCTGGTCAGGAAGGGGGGTAAATCCTCTGGAGGGCAAGTGGTTATGCTTTGTGTGCAGAGAGGTAATGGACATACAAACTGCAGCAACATTTAATTTTTTTTATCTTGAAAGTTTTTATTTTTTCTGTTTTGTTTTTTTGTCCTCCAGACAAACTGCTAAAGATGATTTGTATTTGTCGGGTGCAGAAGTTTATGCAGCCCTGCCAGACAGTGGAGTTAGGTTGTTGTGTTGACATTCATGTACTACAACATAGCAATACAGCTTTGTCATCTCTCCACTGCAAGCCTGAGATTGGACAGAGGAAGGGCAACGATAGGCCGATGAGTTCATCTCTTTGTTCTCGCCTTCTGTCAGCAAGATCTGTCGGCACACTCCTGATTGGCCACTAATGCTACCCCTCACTTTCCCACCCTGTGATCTACTGTACAGGGGTTTGCAGGAGGATGGTGCCAAGTAAAATGCCAGTACTTGTACTAGTATTTATAACATATTTTAATTACTTTTGATTATAACATAACTGCATTATTTGTTTTTTTTTATATCTGCGTTCAAGTTTCTAGAAGAGAGATTGGAAACCTGTGAACCATAGGTTGTCCATAGATGGATCGAAGTTCAGCATGGACCAGCAGAATTTCGATCCATCTACTGTATGGGCTGGCTGGTGGTATAGAAGTCGGTCACTCGATTGACTTCTGTACCACCAGCCTGTTGTGTTTTATTTGCTCGATCAGTGACACGGGCAACACTGATCATTGTATTCTGACAGTGGGAAAGTCTCCCCACTGTCAGAATAAAACTGGCTTCATGAGAGCGAATCCCCCATCAACACAAACTATATTAACAGGGGAATCCAGTTTTTGTTTTTTTCGTTCAGCCTGCTAGTTGAACGAAAAAAAAAAAAGCATAATTTACGGCCATGCATAATTACCACTGCAGCGCTGTCTCCATGCTCCATAAAGAATATTTTCAGATGGAGGGTGCTGACCAATCGGATGCTGTCTAGCCCCTACTGTCATCGCTGCAAGGAGAGGAGAGGAACTCACGGAGATTTCAAATCTTCAGACCTGTGAAGCTGCTTTCTCTCCTCTCTATGCAGGGATGTCAGTATGGGCTAGACGCCATCTGATTGGTCAGCATCGTTCAGGTAACGGTGCTGCTGACCAATCAAAATCTCTCTAGCCCGAACTGTCATACCTGCAAGGAAAGGAGAGAAAGCAGCTTCACAGGTCTGAAGATTTGAAATCTCCGCGGCTTCCTCTCCTCTCCTACCATCTGCTACCATAGTATACATCCCCACACGCCCACTCTCCCATTCTCCACTGTGGGAAATCTCCCCGCTCCAGTGTGAACTCAGGATACGACTGCCTGGGTTCACACATGAGCAGTGGGGAAACCACATGCGATTTGGACAGGAATCGCATTCCTGTTTGAATTGCATGCTATTCTTTGCGGTGCAATTTGCGTCCATACATTTGTATGGACGCCAATGGCATAGCAAAGTATCGGTAATTGGTAACGGCGAGTACTTGACCGACAGTATCGATATCACACTTGCATCCCTAGTTAGGATATGACAGTGTTGTATCTGATGAATGTTAGACAATGTGGCCAGTAGATTAGATCCATCAGCATTTAGAGCCCGAAATTCAAATGTTGGAATTGTGTCCCTGGTGGTGGGTGTTTATTGGCTAGAATAGTTTTCTCACACCTTTATTTATAATGCTGACATTTTGACATTTGCTGTGTACAATGGTTGCACCATCTAAATCATTTTATGATCGTTATTTCTAGGTTCTGGGTTGCTTGCAAGATTCCAGA